TGAAATGAGCACAACACGTGACTTTAGCATTTGTCAGTTTTATTCGGCAATGCTCGTTACTTTAAAAGTCACGTGTTGCGCTTATTTAAGTGAATTCAGAACTTTAAAACGCTCCCCTGTAAACTTGGCAATTTCGACATACGATAATTTACGTAGGGGGGCTCGATATATGAACTTAATTTAATTAATCCCAGTTTAGTCTGCCGGAATCAATGTTTTTGTAAAAATTTAATTTACAAAAAGGAGTACAAAATGTAACTGACGGGAGCTGCCCACGCGCACTGCGTCATGGAGAATCCGGTGAGGCAGGAGACCAGCCACCAGCAGAGGAGTATCATCAGCATTTGCCAGATTATGTGGAAGATTAGAAGCCTGGAACAAACATAAACGTTTTAGCGTATCAAGTGACGGTAACAGGTAACAGTTCCAGAGCCACCTTAGTGACTCTCTTTTAATCTTTAAATCGCAAAGATCTGAGAGGCACTGCCCCTGAGACGTAAGTTGACAAGTCCCATGTGGCAATTTTCACCAACACCTTTACCCTTCCGAAACCAGAACGCAGTAATGCTTACAGTACTGTTTGGCGGCAGAAATAGGTTTAGTTATAGTATATTTGGTTACAGAATATTAGATCTATAGAGTCTCGCGGAAGAAGAAATACGCAACAGGTTATCGAGTTGGTATAATTTTCCAGAAGGACAGGTAAACAAAACATTTCAGTACATAATTTAAATATCAAATACCGAACCTACAATAAAAATACAACCAAATACAAAATTTAGTCCTCCGGCCGTCCGCCTACATAATTCACTTTTTTCAATCAACTTGCTATTGAATATCGTCAGAAAAATCTTGTTGACATTATTACGTGTGCAACGCGACATAACTGTGTTATATAATCTGACACTCCACCGCACCGCGCAGCTGCCTCAGAGACCGACTCAATTAAGCGGTAGGCTTGTAGTTGTGCTTTTTTAGTTCCAATGGCAGATGCGTAATAATAATTAAGTTCTATGTTACTTGCTAGGAGAACCCTACTATGCTAGTATAGTTAAGCCATCGAGTATATAACCAGAAATAAAGACGAAATAAAGGCCATACATTCATGGTAACTCATCGGTGATACATCACTTATAAACATCAACTCTCGTTTGCACTGAAATTACAAATTAGAAAGCTGAAATAGTACAGCGCCAACAACTGTCCTGTGTGTACGTCTCCGTATATTCCAAAAATATTCTGTATTTATTGTAATAAAGATAATATCTCTAACAATAGCGTGCTGCTCCATTCGGTGGTGTGGGGGGAAACAGCAAAACATCTTATTACAAAACAAAAGGAATCAAATTTCAGCGGTTATTAAATTTGAAATACGTAATTTTGCAATTTTCGTCCATTATAGCAAAGCTCAAGTTAACTGGTCGATTTGAAGTGAAACAATTGACGACACCCGTCAATTGTTTCGAATTGAAGCTGGTCAATCGGAGCGCAGTTGTCACCGTAATGATTTGGCAGAATAGTTTTCAAACAAATTAAATGACGTTTCGTCTCTATTTCTGGTTATATACTCGATGAGTTAAGTTAATACTAAAGTAAATTGAGTGTAATAAATGAAAACTTACTTGAAATCCTTATTCCTAGCTGCAGGAAGAGTTTTCTCAGTCTCTTTGTTGAGATATCGACGCACACCTCGCACCAGTATCTCTATATACTCATCCCACTGTGAATTACATAATTTTAAATTATTTGATTAAACATAATTAACTTTTAGCACCATAACTTTGACATTTACTTTAACTAACATTTACATTAACTGCCTCTGTGGCCGAACGGTTACCATGCGGCGCTGCCACGCAGAGGTCCCGGGTTCGATTACCGGGCCGGGAGAAGTATTTGTATGGCCTATATTTATTTCTCCCGTGAGTTTGGATGTAATGTATGGTTGTCTATATGTGTTTCCATAGCACTCGCGATACAGGGTTTCCCTAGTGCGGGGCTATGTTTAGAGTGTGCGTTATTATTATCATTTAATTTGAAAAAATTAAAGTGTACATCGAATTATTTTCGTGCTATATTAAATGACACTCGTGTGTTGATATTTTTAAACCAACGTAGCGGATTGGTATCTAGGTTATGGGGGTATGATTATGAAATGCTGAACAATAAACATGTCTACTATTTGAAGTCTGTCAAAGTTATTATTATTTTGCTTAACTAGTTTGTAATTTTACTTGTACAAAGATTGTCATCTGGCTATTAGTACAGTGAATTATCAATAATAAATGTAACTTTTTCAGTCGGGTTTGTCAGTCGGCGACAAAGAGGCGATTAAATTAATTTACCATTTGTAATTTTTTTTCAATTATTTCAATTTATAGGTTTGTCGAGTACAATATATACGTAAGTTTATTATGTATGTATAATAAGTGATTAGCTTTCTAGTATATTGTTCTTCTTGTTTAAGTGTAGCACCAACCTATTGTTTTTTTTCTGTTTGGCTCAATGGTTGACTGGTAGAGAATGCCTTATGGTATTAAGTCCGCCATTTGTACTTCAATATATTGTACAATAAAGTTTAAGTAAATAAATAAATACGGTTCAATCAACAAATATTCCAATTCTCGCCTCAACCAACTTCGTCAATCCGGATAATTTCCACCAAAGATGCGCTAGGAGAAAATTGAAATTTTGTGATAGAAATTTCAGTCCTCGTTTCGACGTTGTAAAAGCACCTTTAAGCAGTGCCTAGACTGGCTAATCTTTCCATCACAATGCTTACTTCAAATAGGATTTAAACGTAGCAACTTAACTCTAAACGTTGGACTAGTTTATAGTAGAACCACTTACATTTAATTCAGAGATATCGATATTGAACAGCTTCCGATCGGCGTCGCCGAGTTTCCCTTCCAGCTCCCTGGTGTTCTGGTTGTGGAAGCGCCATTCGGTGAAGATGAACTTCTCCAGGCGGTTCAGGGAGTTCCACACGTTTTTATGCAGCCGGAACAGGCTGAATATTTAAAGAACTGGTTAAAAATTAATCTGAGTTAGTTATTATTGATACAAAGACCTGCTGGCTAGACCGAGATAAGTTTCTCACAGATGGCGCTACTGTTAGGTAATTTTCAAATAGAGGAAATTTTTTCAGGAAGTTTCCGTAAAATTATAATTTGGAATACATATATTATGTTCTACGTTGAGAAATATCTATTGAAATTTTATTTAGCGTGAATTATAAAAGAAACTTGTATAGCTAAAAGAAAAACGAGATTTAAAAAATAACTTGTAATAACCACACCACCACCACTTGTTGTTGGCTCAGTAACTTCAACTGTTGACAGGTGTCAACGTCTAATGTGGAAAATTAAAGGAAAAATATGATTTTTTTCAAAATGGAATTTTTCTACGACCCAACCCTAGGTGGCGCTAACGATGTAACAAGCCACGTAGGAAAATTTGTGAGACCTGCTGACTGGGTCTCCGTTGGTTAACAGCGGTGGCCACCATCAACACATTTATTAGTTCCACTGCTGGGCACGGGTCCCCTCTCGGGCGAGGGATAGTCTAAAGCGGGTTGGGGACTTCACACCTTTTCAGAGGGTTGTGCAACGATGTTTTCCTTCCCTGAGAAGTTTCGCTTTATTATTATATTTATTAAGCATCGCCCGACAAGTCGCCGAATATCGTGACTGTTGCGTGTCGGTCTAGTCACAACCCTAGTGCACAAATAAATAATGAAGACCAAGTGTGGTCAATCTACCAACATTCATTCTATCTAAACCGGGCTTGGTGAAAATCAGCGCGACGAAACGGTTTAAAAAAAACCTTTTTGTGGCTATTAGGTACTGCAATAACAATGTTTTTTTTTCTTTTATTATTATATCATTATTTATTTTAGACTCTCGCTTCTCCGAGGGTCTAAAAGATTAATGTTGAATTGTTATGATTATTATTATTATTGTTCCTCTGTTGTTTTGTTTATATGCGTGTCTGTGCTTGTGTAATAAACAGTTTTCTTTCTTTCTTTCTAAATATATAAATAAAAATAAAATAAAAAGAGTTTATTCTTCAACACTACAACGATACATGAAAAACTTAAAATAGTGGATACATGGCTGTAATAATAATTTTATTTATTTTCTCACCACAATACAACATAATAAACATAATACAAGTGCAATATGAACTATTCTAAAGATATTGTGGGAGACTGACGCCTAAACTAGGCTCAAGGCCTGTATTTCAGGTCATCAGGTCTCCACCCCTTGGGAATAACATTTCCAATATAATTATGAAATTACAAAATTCTCTAATGCGGTAACTGTGGGATAAACAATTATAATTTTTTTTTTTTTTTTAAAGAAAAACATAAAAAACCAAAAAATTGATAAATAAAAGCGTTGAAAACTAGTGTTAGTAGGATTAGCTTATTCCTTTTAGCGATTGTGTGTTAGTATGTGTGTGTGTGTGTAGGTCTGTGTGTGTATGTTTATATTTCAACTTATTTACAATATGTATATCTACTATGTGTTAAACTATTCTGGAGCAGCCAGTAACTTTTCGGTCTCATCATAATCCAGCCCCCGCAACCATTCTGTTACTTTCTTTTTGCAAGAGTTTTTATTTAAAGGGAATATGGTCAATGTCCTATTTATATTATTATAAAGGTAGCAACCCAGAAGGCTGTGGTCAAGAAAAATGTTGTTTTCAGGCTTCACCCTGTATAAAATGTATAACGACAAGTGAAGTATATTCGTTGCTGTAGACACCGCAGTATGCAGTTTCTAATTAAATATATAATTAAGAAACCACCTCACTCACCGCAATTATACACCATTACCTACATTATACAGAAATTCCAGTTAAAATGTTTATACCAAACTACAAATAATACACGCATGATCCAGACCAGTCTGGGCACTACAACATTTTTCATACCACAACGCATAAGACTCATACCAATACATATATACCGATTGTTTTATTTATTTTAATTTAATACAGTGTGAATTAAAACTTACATGGGTCGTCCGCCAGTAATACGGAGCAGGTTATCGAGCAGTATTGCCGGAAAGAAATGAACGAAAATCGCCGACAACCGGAACAGCCATAGAGATGAAACGAACTTTAGATATGGGTACCTGTTTGCAAAGTAAACATTTATTTATTTATTATTAGGCGAGCGGTGTGAAGCTGATATGCCTATATCAAAGCTGTGTTGAATTTTTATAAAGTCCACGAATTCACAAATAGTTCTGGATCTTTTTGTTAAAGTCTTCTCCCATTGCAAGACTTAGCAAGTTGTATAATGATCATAGCGCAACAATTGATTTACACTACTTCTCGGTAACAAAAACGAAACGCGTAATGTCATCACCGTCTTGAAACTCTGTCACCTAACTTCTATTTTTTATGTTTTCACTTAGTCTTAAGATATTTCACTATTTCTTTCTGTAAGCGATTTGTATTGTTGAATTAATGTTAGTACTTTTCCTTTTGCAAGTTTTTTTTTTACTCTGTAATAATTTTATTGTGCATGTAGTATCGGTCTATAACTGATTGTGCACTTAGTTTTAAGCTTTTGCATGTATATTTCTAACTTATTGGTGTAACAATTGTTGACTGACCAAATAAATTAAAAAAAAAAAGTACACAAAACACTAGAAATTAACATAATTAACAAACTTTATGAAAAATGTTATAATAACTCCTTGTCATTAATCTAACGCATATAACTCACGCATTTACATTTTGGGTGACTTGAGATTCGTTCCGTAGTTTAGTTGGCATAGCACGGTTTGCTGGAAGACGTTGGTTCGAATCCAGCCGTAATGGAGGATTTTTTCTATGTGTTTTTTTTATTTCATATTTGTATTAATAATTATAACAAAGTAAAATAATTGTATATCGTGGTGGTCAAACATGGTGACAACCAAGTGACGGAACGAACAAATCGCGCACCTGGTGGTAAGCGACACGCCAATCCAGAGCTTTAAATCGCAAAGATCTTAGAGACACTGCCACTGTGCCCGTCACCCTGAGACATAAGTTGACATGTCCCATGCGCCTGTAATTGCACCAGCACCCTTACCCTTACAAACCGGAACGCAGTAATGCGCACATTGTCCCTTAGTAGAAATAGGTAAAGTAAGTACTACCCTGGAGAAACTCTTTAACAAGGAGCTCCTGAACCCACGAGAGAATATGGTATGGGTATCGAATCCAGGACCTTTGAGTGGCAGTCCTTTTTTTTATGTGACAATCTATGATTACACCTTTATTTTACAAATAAAAACTGCCCGATATTGCGCTTAGTGTAAAAAAAAAAGGTTCAAAAACGGAGTTACGAGATTATCAAAAGTCAACGATATGTAAATTTTAATTATATATTAAGCTGTTAAATTTCTTTAATAAAAAAGAATAATAAAAAAATATGAATTAAAAAAAATGAAATATTGATGTCTTACTTTCTCAAACTCGTATCTTATAAAGATTGATTATTCAGGAGATGACAAAATTTTATATTTATTTTTCTTATCAAGGGTGATAATTTGGATGAATTACTTTAAGAATAAGTAATAGCATCGAGTATAATATAACCAGAAATTGAGACGAAATGTCATATAATTTGTTTGAAAACTATTCTGCCATATCATTATTGTGACAACTGCGCTCCGATTGGCCAGCCCGAGTTCGAAACAATTGACGGGTGTGGTCAATGGGTGTCGTCAACTGTTTCACTTCAAATCGACCAGTTAACTTGAGCTTTGCTATAATGGACGAAAACTGCAAAATTACATATTTAATATTTAATTACCGATGAAATGTGATTCCGTTTGTTTTGTAATTAGATGTTTTGCTGTTTTTCCTACACCACCGAATAGAACAGCACGGCATTGTTCGAGATATTTATTACCTTTATTACAATAAACACAGAAAATGTTTTGGAATATACGGAGGCGGACACACAGGTCAGTAGTTGGCCTGTCTATATTTCAGTCCAAACGAGAGTTAATATTTATAAGAGCTGTATCGCTAATGTGTTACCAGGAATATATGACCCTTATTTCGTCTCTATTTCTTGTTATATACTCAATGGGTAAAAGCCAGTGTGTGAATATGTAAAATGTGATGTGAAATAGACCTGAAAAATTGATATATACAAACTTTAACTGCCTCTGTGGCCGAACGGTTACCATGACTGCCAAGCAGAGGTCCCAGGATCGATTCCCGGACCAGGAGAAATGTTTGTATGGCCTACATTTATTTCTCACGTGTATTTGGGTGTAATTTGTGGTTGTCTATGTGTGTGTCCATGGCACCCGCGACACAGGGTTTCCCTAGTTCCCTATGTTTAGTGTGTGCGTTATTGTTATTATTACAATCCATTTTTTGCATTTCAGTAACTTTGTGCTTTAAGACACGAGTTTAGAAAGTAAGGCGACGATATATGTTTTTCACTCATTAAGTAAGCTTATTTCCTTGTAGCCATGCTAAGCCAGCTGGACTTACCAAACAGCACTTTTAAGAGGGTATTTGTGTAGCAAGGCGTTCACTTGGGTATCTGCCATCACCCATTGGAACGGACGTTGAGTGGATGACGAGCAGTGGTACACCGATATACCAGACCTGGACAAGAATAAATTTATATAATAGGGTTGTTTGTAAAATACAAACATCCTCACAGGACAATATTACTAACATCATAAGCAAAAACTGAGTGAAGCCGTGGTAGCTAATGATTTGGCCTACAGTCTCTCATGCAGATTGTCGTGGGTTCGAGTCCGGACACGCACTTCTGAGTTGTTCGGGATTTATGAGCGAAATTTAATTTGAAATTTATCATGAGCTTTTCGGTGGGGAAAAACATCGTGGGCAGAGATGGGTCATGGATAAATATCATTGGGATAAATACTCAGGATAAATATAAATTTTTAGTCGATATTTATCCAAAAACGTGGACAAATATTTTTAATTATGGTTTATTATTTATATTTAATAAAACAAAGTATATTTTTAAAACACTTTGTGTACCTACACAATTATAAACATTAATTTTTTATATCATATGTTTTAATTTATAGATTTTGTGTGTGCAATGTGAAAGAGAATCCTTAGGGTATTTCAAGTCCAAACATGACTGTATTTAGTACGCAGTAGACCCCAAGACCATAAAGTCGCACTTTATTGACGCAGGATAGGTCAGTTCAAGGGTTACAGTTAATTTGATAATTTTCTGTCATTTTTTATACCACTCGACTCGAAAAACGTAGGTAGAACAGTATTGTTACATAAAAGAATGGCAAAAACGTAATTATTTAATAAAAAAATAATTTTATTATAAAAAACACAAAAAAATAATTATCCATGTTTTAGGATAAACACTCAGTAAAAACGGATATCCATCCATCCATCCATCTCTAATCGTGGACCATGGCCTAAACCGTCGTCTGAAAGGAGACCCGTGCCCAGGAGTGGGACGTATAAAAGGGATGACGATGAAGCAACAACTGTTTATGAATTGATGATTGAGACGACTTAAATTAGATGCGAGTAAAATGACTGTTCAATACGTGTGATTACAATCGATAAATATTCTATCGACTATCGACAGAATATTGATTAAGTAAAATTAGCGATCTTAAGCATTTAAGGTACTTTTATGTACCATTGTTTTTTTCCATCCTGTATTAAGAATATTCTCAACATGCAGATTTCTGACGCTGAATAAATCGCCTAGTGTTACCCACTAAGATCATCTTACTTACTTAGCTTTGGCCGCTTGCCAACCAGCGACTAGCAGCTCGTTGATCACAATGTCCACTGGTATGTAGTCAGCGATGATTTCCTTCGCTATTGGTAGACGACGGACAACGCCTGAAACCACAAAAATACAGGTAATTTTTAAAATATTAAAAACTTCTGTACTATATTACTAACATCATAAACCAACTTTTGTTCCATGACTTTTCACAAAACATAATAGATTTATCAATAATAAACTTGTAACTTTTTCTTGTAGTATCTGACACTTTTTAGATCTATATTTGGTAGGAAGTAATAAAATGTATAGCCGGGAGGCGTTCTCCTGCGGCGTACTGATTCATAAAAATATTTTGGTGTCAAGTTTTATTTCCGTTTTATTTCAATTGGAATTAAATTTATTTATCAATTATTAATACGAAATGATATTTTACAGTAGTGCAGCTTTTTTTATATAACATCTAGTAACTATATACAGGGTGTAAATTTGAGACGGGACAGCCAAGGCCAGCTACCTTAATCGTTGTAGTTACAGGAAAACGGTTCTAGAATACTATCCATGAGTTTTGAAGATATTTTGATTGGCATTCACAGATTTTGAAAAAATGGTACAGTCAGCAAGATAAAAGGCAATTTTTACAAAACTTTTTTTATGCCATTCAATCCGGTCTAAGGTAATAATCAATAGTCTCTATGGAACCAACTGAGATAAAAGTACTCGAAATGTCAAGAAATCGGTAAAATACGTGTGTGTGTGTGTGTGTGTATACACACACGCACATACACATATTATGTACATGACTATGTTAGGTTGTATGTATGAATGTATTAGGTTCGTTTGTTACATATATACATTAATATAAGTTATTATAAATGTAATATTTTCTTTAATAATTATTAATATAATTTAAATAATAATATGTAATATATAATTTATTAATATAATAATTCGCCGCGTTCGTGAATTTCGGTCACCACCATCATGTCTCGTGGTCAATAAAGTTTTAATAAATAAATAAATAAAAATTCCTTAGAACTTACAGGACTCGACCTGCGTCTGTGCCGTACCAGGGCAACCCCTCTACCAACTTACGACATGTCAGATCCAAGGAATTTTTCTTTTTATTCGTTCTTTGTACTTATTATAAAATTATTACAAAACTTAATTTAACTACGAAGGGAGCTCGTAAAGGTCGCGGAATGACGAACTCATTATATAAACGAGGTTTCAAGTTCCTGGCACCATTCGTGTCTGAATTGTCCTGCAAACAATACGCAAGTATTGTGAAACTATAGACAAAATTGAACATCGCGCCGTCATTAAATTCCTAACCTTACCACTTCATACTTTTTTTTTTTTTTTTTTTATACATGACAGGCAAATGAATTTACTTATAAAACCAGCCATCAAATGCAGGGAGGATCATTGTCTTTGTGGGCTAGTGACCCACAACTGTCGGGAGACTGTGGCAGCTGATGCTCTACACATCGACGCGGCCTATGCGAAATTCAAAAGTTGTTTACCTTTAGAAGCGCCCATAAGGAATCCCTGTGGCCCCACTTTGGAGCAGGTCCATCCGGGTACTGGTTCCTTCCACGCTGCCACGACTGAAAATTACAATAATACCATAAAATACTAACAACACGCCAAAACCACCACGGGAGATGAGGCTTAGGGGGTCTACTCTCGCTCTCCATCCGACATCAAATGCAATACGAAATCCAAATTGGCCAATCGCATTGGTTTAATATCACGTGAAACGTAGTACGCTATTCAAACCAACCAATGTGTGAAATATGACAATTAATTGATCCAATATAAACTCAAATGGACACGATGTGATCTAGGTAGTCTGTCCCCTTACACGGTTAGCCAGATTTTTTTGTTGTTGAGGCTAGATAGAAGTAAAATTACTTACTCATAGTTGGTCTAACAATGGTGCAAGGGAAGAAGTCAGCATATTTCAACACTTCATGTTCTGCTAAATGTTTAGTGAATGTATACGTGTTCGGGTGTGTCTTCAGCAACCTGGAACAACAGTTAGTGTTACAACTCAGGGGAACAGCGGTGGAAAACTCACAGTAGTACCATATTTAATTGCTTCTGTGGCCGCGCGGTTACCATGCTGGACTGCCACGCAGAGGTCCCGGGTTCCATTCCCAGGCCGGGAGAAATATTTGTATGGCCTACATTTATTTCTCTTGTGAGTCTGGGTGTAATTTATAGGTGTCTGCCTATGTGTGTGTCTATGGCACCCGCGATATAGGGATACGCGATGTGGTGCGAGGTTATGAGTGCGTGCGTTGAAAAAAAATATAATAAGACAAGTTATAGTATCTTTTTTGAAGACGGAGTAAAATGACATTTGCAGTGTTGCCAGTTTTCATAAAATTTTAAATAGTAATGTAGTTGTTGTCGACAGCATCTTTGATAAATTGTAAAGGAATGTTACCACATTTTAATGATTACTAATTGAATTATTGCCTTCATAAGATAATTCAATAAGAACAGACGGATTCGATTGTCCGTATTGAATTATAATTAAAAACTTTAAAATAGTTATTTGTTATGCAGGCTGTAAAGTTGTTGTTTGTTTTGAAACCTGAACGTAGCGAGGCTGTCAAGCCACGAGACGCAAAAACAACTTTGCTGCCGAGCGAAACACAACTTTTCACCTCACTATAGCGAGGAAAATAGTAGACGAAAAAAACAGCTGAACTATAACAAATCAATTTCAATAAACAAAACTAGTTATCGTTGTCAATTCAATGTCAGCAATAATAAGAATAGAATATACCAACAGATTGATATTACATAAAATATAATAATGTACGGCAAATCGCGTAGTTGAACGTGTCATCATATTTTTTTTATCGAAAGAAAAAAGTTAGGTACACCACAGTCCGCATCGTCAAATTCGAATTTCAGAAAAACGCTTTTGCGCGCAGGTTTCTAATGACATTTCTTTGCCTTTCCGAGCTAGTGAGGTGAAAAATATATCGTTTGATATGTATAATAATGCTTAAATTCTGTTTCGATAATTACGTAAACAGTACGTATTATCTTCAATGTTATATGTCCCCTAAAAAGTTAACCATGACTATATTGTCCGATATAACCGTGTGTACGTTCATAATGTTATACAAATGATCTGTAGAGTTACACTCACTTGCCCTCAATCTGGTCCAGGCCCTCATCAGACAAGGTTCCTACCAGTGCGATGACCTTCTCCACGTCTTCCGGAGCTTCATATATTTTCTCGTAAGCCTCCTTTAAATAAGAATTCACGTATGCCGAAGACACATGGACCACAACCTGGAAATATAATTGTGTGGCAAACTATAGTAAAACCTTCAAGACGGACAATTTTATTTCTGCACTGAACTGGAGGTCTACCACGAAATATGAAGCAACGATCGTAGATCGTGATTTGGCAGAAGTATGTGTGGATACCTTACTCAGAAACGTCAAATGACAGCTGTCGTATCGAATTGTGACATCGAATTGTGTGTGTAAAACTTACATTTATGTAGTTAAAATTACTAAAACTGACATTTATGTAGTTAAAAGTTAAAATGACTTTTCCAAATACCGCTATTCATCGCTTAGTGAATGTTACGACGTTTTAATGATTACTAATTAATTAATTGATTAATTGCTATATTGCCTTCTTAAAATATAGAAGAATAGCTTCATTTGATTATCTATATTGAATTAAAATGAAAAACTTTAAATTATGTCTCCTCTTCGTATTTTTCATTAACATGGTTCTAATATATTATACGTATGTATGAATTTACAAAAAATGACAATTCAAATGAACTTGTGCTCAGTAATTGGATGAATAATAATGTTAAATTTATTAGGTGTATACCTAAATAAAGAAACATTTTATTTTATTTTTTATTTGAAAGAAAGAAAAACGTTTATTCATTAAATTGAGTTACTATACACGCTTAAGTCTAATTCTTAGAACTAAAACAAGAAGTGACTGAGTAATTTTAGGTTAACAAGTACGTGTGCATAGTGGCGCAAAAGAAGAAAAAGATACGACTGAACAATTTGTCTATTTCTGGCGAGACAGACGCTGATTTTCTCGCTGGCACTCTTGTTAACTGAGTTTTTATGGGCACTCTTGTTAACTGACAATTTGAGGGCACTCTTGTTAACTGGCAATTTGATGGCACTCTTGTTAACTGACAATTTGAGTGCACTCTTGTTCAAACAACCATGAACACAACAATAAACATGTCTACTATTTGGAGTCAGTTTTTAAACACCGAATGAATGCTTCAATTTTATAATGTACGAGACGCCAACCCGCGTTGTGCAACGCGAGAGTATGCGAATGTGTGCGTCCGTACACGGCGCGCGGCGGGCGTGCACACATACAAGCCACACTGCTACTTTTGTATGGAGTTATCATACTTGTCTAATTATACTATGATAAAACCTAATAAAAATGTTACCTTCAAATTCTTGATCTGCTGACTCAATTCCATGACTCTTCTAGTTCCCAGGACGTTGATCTTTACTGTCGGTCTCAGGTTCTCCTGAAAAGGTAAATAAATAAACAAAACTTAACATATTTTGTCAAGAGCGCTGCATGTTCAGTATTATAAGACTTGAGGCGATTACGTTTTACCACACTTGTTGATGCGGCCCTTTCTTGTGTCGAAGGCGCTAATCAGCCGCTATCGGTTGCTTACAGTATTATGTATTTATAGCAATTATTACATGCCAATCAACCAAACCAATCACTTGATCTTATACCAGGAAATTCCTTGTTCTACAAGTACCAAAGTAACAAGTAAATAAATAATAACGCACCCACTCAACATAGCCCCGCACTAGGGAAACCCTGTGTCGCGGGTGCCATGGACACACACATAGGCAACCACAAATTACACTCAAACTCACGAGAGAAATAAATGTAGGCCATACAAATATTTCTCCCGGCCCGGGAATCGAACTTGGGACCTCAGCGTGGCAGTCCGAGATGGTAACTGTTCGGTCACGGAGGCAGCTGAATCTTTGTTATGATTCTGAAAATAAGATCGACCACACAGAAAAATTTCGTCGACCCGGTATGACTTGAACCCCACGTCCATGCTGCACCGTAGCATTGCTCTTACCAACTGAGTTATGAGTCCAGTTACTGTCGAAATTCTTGTTAAAGGTCTTTACAGTACAAAACTGTACAGATCTTTATAGTACAGATATTTGTACTGGCTTTCGGCAATTCGTCGCCGCTAGTGACATCTAGTGAGAGATTTTTGTTTAACATCCTCACCGCTGCCGATACCTTTACAGGTATCACAACTGACACAGATGGCGCTTTTCGATCAAATGCATTTATTGAGAGATCTGTGTGTTCAATTTTTTGTATTCACAAAAAAAGTCTATTATAAGTAAATGGTTCCAAATTGGCCCTGTCAGGCATTGATCTAGGGACCTTGTCATAAGACACAGCTAGTTCAACAGCTGGAATACCATCATCTAACTTACCTGAAAGTCAAGTGTGGCTGCAGAGTGTATGACGACATGAACATTATCAATCAATGTTGTACGATCCTGTGGACTGAGCCCAAGATTATCCTCGCCCACGTCACCTGCCACTGGCACAAGTTTCTTGAAGACATCTGTTGAGTTTGTCTCTAACAACTTCTCGAACACCTGCAATCCAAACAATAAAATTTTGTTTAATCACACACATTCAAAAAAGCTCTACTTAAAACAAACACTTTCTTTATTAGATAACTTCAAATCAGCAAAAGAAACGAGGAAACAAACCACATACAAACAGGATGTTTTTATGAAAGTTCACACTGCTACCATCAGAACAAATACACTACCAACAAATCTCCCCACAATATGAGTTGACATAGCAAAAGTGAAGCTTCCTTCACTCGGTGCATTCAACGGACCATATTAGTTCAGTACATTACAATTTAACGGTCACACTAATATGTATCTACAAGTAATTGCAAAACCAAATACAAAGATCCAACCAACAAAAACATAGACGAATTCGTGAGGTCTGCTGGTTCATTCTGCTGCCTAGTTGGCATAGTATCTGGTACGGTTTACTAGAAGACATCGATTCGAATCTGACTGGATGGAAGGAATTTTTACTAAGCGTTCGCTTTGTTTTAATAATTGCACCTGCAAGATTCTAATTGACCATAACTTACAATTATGAGCAAAATGTACTATTTACATCATTGTATAGAAAGAAATTCTGAAACAAAACAATTTTTAAATTCGTACTTTATTAAAATGGAGATACCAGTCTTGCTCATGGTGTCGTTTGCAATAAATTTTTTATTATTTTCACAAAACTACATAATCTTTTTACTTAGTCACATAACACTTAAAAGAAGTTTGTGTTTTACAAGTAATTATTTTTTACTCGTAAAATAAATATTTTGTACTTAGAAAATTTATACCAAAATTTTTTAAGGTTGTATCGAATACCAATTTACACCAAGGTTGTATCGAAGCCCCATTTTGTGTTGTTGCAGTGAATAGACAGCATCAACATAAAATATTTATGGCTCTAATTAATAAAAACAAGGATTGTAAATTAATAAAAAAAATCACTCCGGGAGCGTCCATTGTCCACATAGAAGGAGTCTAAAATTACATGTTACATCCAGACTGTTTAGTGTACTACTAAACATAGTTAACATAAATATTAGAACGGTACTTTTTTAAATATGATTGTATCAAAGGTTATTGGAAACAATGCACTTACCGGGTTTGTACGAAACTCCTCCAGTCGCTCTGTTATTTCTTTACCTTTCTTCGGTCTCATTAATAAGTACAATTTGCCAGAATCAGGAATCGTGCGGAGAATCTTCTCTATCAAACATAATCCGACAAAGCCGGTACCTCCTGTTATGAAAAAGTTTTTGCCCGCATAGAACGCACGGACTTCACTTTCTTCGAGCATTTTAGACGGTTTTCACTTATGAACAAGCTGTAAAGAAGAAATTTCCATTTAAGCTACACTTTTTACTAAAACTTTAACGCGTTTGCGAATACAAAATATTAATACTCGCAAATATAAATCAGGGGTCTCGATCTCCGTCCGAAACAATTACTGTTAAATAAGTAATATTCGACAAAATTAAAAGACAAATATCAAGTATGAAGCTTCATTCGCTTCACGCATCTTTTCATTTGGTCAAGTATTACTTATTTGGCAGTAATTGTTTCGGACGGAGGACGAGAGTAGAACCCCAGATACAAATGCAAAGCACAACAACAACAACCAGTGTTGCCAGACTTTTGAGAAGTTATTAATTTGCCAATTTATGTGTGTTAAGTAGTCGATACTGGCCCAAGCCTTAAAATCCGTAAAAATCAAGGAAAACAAGTCTACAATTCTGCTTGCTGCCGAACATTAGGGACTGACAACAACCAAGGTGCCAGGTTGCCATTTGTATTTGAATTTGTTTTTAAACCGTCTAAAACGGCTCATTCACTGTATTGGCAGTCCGCCACACAGGCAGAAAACGGTTGACACCAGTGTTGCCAGATTAGGTCACTTTTCTCCATTTAGGCTACTTCCGAGGGGTTACGCGGCGATTAAAAAGTGATTGGCGACTTGACGATATTTAGGCTATGTTTGAAATAGGAAAACGCGATTTTAGGCTACTTAATAAAATGTCTGGGAAATTACAATTTTTTTTTGTAATTTGTAAATTTTTTTGTTGTAGTTTTAAAATAACCACAGACATATCTAAATAGAAACAGCAATTTGTATGAAAACCAAGCGTGTCACATTTTTTGTACCCACTATGACGTCACAAGAACTCTTTAGTGATGGATATCTCCTTACGCTCGCTCTAAATCGATTAATTACGCGTGTTTCCGCGTATTCCGTTCAATTAATCGACTCTCTTTGCATTATACATATTTTTTGTATTACTCGTACTACATATCCGGCAATGTATGTAATTATTTACTCACTATATTCGGACATTCGAGGCAACATGTTGCAAAAATTATCGAATTACAGATACTAATGATAATAGATACTACAAAACTGAAAAAAAAGGAAACGTTACAACAAAAGAGTTATAGAATATTTTTATAATATTGGTAAGGTCATAATAATTTTCATTCCTTTGGTTTCAATATTGATCAGAATCTATAACAGTGTTGCCTAACGTATACGTCACTAAATGTTAAATTGGGCCAAAAAAAATTACAAGCGGCCGTACCACGAACGAAACTGAATGCATTACACAAAAGTGCGTTTGTTCGATATTCATGGCGTATTAACAAAGGATCACAAATACCGCACCTAGTAAAAGCCGCAATGTATTACAAATATGAGGTATACACTCGGTTGCATATTTGTTTTCTCGAAATTCATATACCTTAAAGCCAAAATAATTGTTTTTAAAATAAATTATGCATCTTCTGATTACAAAATCACTTGTCAGTGGAAGGAAATGTCTCTGTTTACCCGTTTACCCACAGTTATGGTGCTGTTGCAGTTTATAATGGTACAGTTATGCATTTTTCGCGTTTTCGACTGGTGTTTATCTATGATAATGGTCGAGCACGTTCTGGAGCTAAGCTCTGCAGCGGCAACTAAGTGACACTTACTTTGGGCACGCGAAGTACGTGCATTTGCGGCGTCTATCTAGATATAATTATGTCTTGCTGGCTTGGGCGAATAACGGCTACTTAACACACATAAACTGGCGAATTAACTTCGCAAGTCTGGCAGCACCACTGGTTCACACACTATCCTGCGTGGGATTCGCTCTTGGCCTTTTGGAGGGAAACGTGTCGTTTTTATTTTGACTTTCAATTATTTTGTGAAATCTAGTTTAAAGTGGAATAGGATAGTGCTATTGTGCCTTAATCGAAGATTAGAACGCGAAATTATACGAATCTCGAACTAAAATACCCGTATCGGTCCTTCTAAGGAATCCTGAGTCAATCCAAGCACGCCGCCTCAAATTGCCTATCCTCTTTGTGGTGGCCATGTTTACAGAAATATAATTAAACGTTTATGTTTTCGGCTGAAGGACTTTGTTTCCATGGCCAGCAATAAATTTAAAAAAAAAAAACTATCCTGCGTGGGGAATGGGGATTCGCTCTGGGCCTTTTGGAGGGAAAAGTGTCGTTTTTATTTAGACTTTAAATTATTTTGTGAAATCTAGTTTAAAGTGGAATAGGGTAGTGCTATTGTGCCTTAATCGAAGATTAAAACGCGAAATTATACGAATCTCGAACTAAAATAACCCGTATCGACCCTTAAAGGAATCCCGAGTCAATCCAAGCATGCCGCCTCAAATTGCCTATCCTCTTTGTGGCAGCCATATTTACAGAAACATAATTAAACTTCATGTTTAATTATGTCTTATATCTTCATGCACGTTGTAAATAATCAAATTGTTGAGTATCAGGTCAATGACCTTACTACCTTTATGCTTTTTTTAAAAATTATAATTGGTTTGTTAATGTGTATAATGTTTTAAAATATATTTAGTAACTTTTCAGCAGTGGACCTCTTCCGGCTGATATGATGACGACGAACTTTTAAAATGCCTATACTACTAAATCTATGGCCTATACCATAGATTTAGTATATATACTAAATCTATGGCCTATACATAGAAACTTTCTTATACTAGGTATCTGACAGAGATAATTTAATTTTTAATTTATTAAAAGTAATAAATAATCGATTTCTTACCGAAGCGCAGCAGTCTTTCTTAGTTATATTTTTCACAGTTCTACAACACATTTGGTAGCGCAAAATTTTACAATTGAATAATTTTCCTACAGACAACACGTGTAATAAGAGTCATTGACAAAAAATCGTCACTTGTTACATAATATTTATAAATACGAGTATATTATTAATACTGGTATTCGACTTTTGAACATTCTAGATTTAAAAACAAAATAAATATAGGACAACAGAAGCACAGAACAAAACAACATTAACTTGTTTTCGAAAATGGCGCTACGCAAGTTGTGCCCTGATTGAATGTTACGCTGTGGTTACCTTGTTTTTGTATATTTTAGATTTTGTTATATTTTTTTCTCAACATGTTAGTTTTTACTGTCTTAGCCATTTATTTATATTAATATAACTTATAATAATAATATAATATTATTATATGCTATGAACCGTTATTCGAGACCTATAGAGTGAGACAGCACCACTTGCGTCGTCGCCGCGAACGGCCCCCCAACGCTCCCCTCCACCCCACTCCCAGCGGCACTAATCGGGACGGAGGGGCATGCAGCTCATCACCAGATGAGGTCTCGAATAAGGTTTCCGCATATAATAACTGTTTAATTTCAGGTAAAACATTATGTTACTGTTGTAGGTAATTATGTAAGTTTATTTGTTTTTAAATTGCGATAGAAAATTGTTGCAGCTATACATACAACAAGGAATTAACGTGGAATTACCTCGTAGTTCCTTATTCAGAAATAAACATTGTGCATTATTATAATTACGTTGTTTCATATGTTAACAAATTAAATAAATTATGGATTATTCTGTTCAATCTAGATTCATTACATAATAACAACATAAATGGACAAAAGAAAATTGTAACTTAGATCATCTTAGACTTAACACTTATCACAAGTCAAAATTCTAGCCTTTAATTGGATACCAATAGCGAAGGCTCCATGTAACACGTTTCTCCATCAGCTGGCCTTTGTATTCTCCTAGTTATTACTAGATATTGAACGTTATTGCCGCGTTATACAATTATTGTGCTAGATAAACACGCCAATTAACTGATCTAGGAGTCGGAAATTCCCTGCACAAACGAGTATCAGTACGTGTTGTACTTGTATGTCAAAAATCAGAGCCGCAACTCCGTTTCGAAATATCGATTCAATATTCCATATGTATTACATCACACATATTTATGTTTATTTCCGTTCGGAATAACAAGCCTCAGCTGGCACTCGAGGCATTTAGTCCAGCAGCTTTATTTTGATTGCCTCTCTTCCGATCGGAAACTGCGTCTCTTCCGAGTCGAAGCGCATAATTGCGATTCACAAGGGGCCGATCGGAAACTTTTGACATTTCAAATCGGAACACTTAGAAAAAACACAATTTAGAAGGATATAGTAGGAATCAGGTTCATCTTCTCGCTCGGACCATCTGAATTCGAGACTACCCGATAGGGTCGATCCTGATTTGAATCAAAATCAGCATGTACGTAAACAGCAGAACGGAATTTATGACTGTGTGTTGCGGCCCTACAAAATCTATGGAAGACTTGCATTCGAAATTCCGAAACGGAATTTCGAATTGGGATTCCGACTAGTATGTGTGGGAAATGAAAAAAAAAACTAATTTAACATTATTGATTATTTTAATCATAATTTTTTTTTTAATTTTAAAATTATAAAATTATAAAAAAAACTGCCAAACATATTATGGATCTTTTATGGATTAAATGCCTTAGCCTCTATTCCGATGGACGAAAACTTTTACTACATAATGTAACTCCCAACTACAGTGTCCGGTTTCTTTTTACGATTGGCGAGTGATAGAACTTTTTCTACATGTGTTTTAATAAAAACATTGCTACTTAATTGGCCGTTGCGATATAATTAGTTGCATCAAAAAATATTGCAGTCTTTTTAGGAGACGTAGTGCCATTTGGTGGGGGAACAGTAAATATTATACACTACTATTATACACATATCATAAACTCTCTTTAATGTGTTCAAAAACCGCAAATTACGTCCAGCATAAAGGTAAACTGTTTTGTAACAACAAATTTCTTATTTGCGAAAATGTTAGTCGAATTCGATGTTATTATTACATTCAAATTTCGAACGTCTTTGAAAAACGAAACAATTTGATTGGACCTCAATTCTAATATCAGTCGAGATGAAGTTTTATTCGAAATGAAATGTCATTGTCAATAGCAAACAATTTGACAATTTCACACGTTACTTGGTATCGAACGATATGAT